ATGTATGTATGGCATTTTAGGGGTGGGCTGTTATTTACATAGCATTTTGCAGTCTGTTATTAGTGCCTGCCAAGGTGCATGTGAAACGTAGTTTTTGCCTCCCATACAATGTGATAGTCTAACAGCAGCATGGAAGACTTTGCCATGTTTCCTGTGGGTGTCTTGGTTGCTTCTGCAGAATGAGTAGTTCTTTGCATTTGTAGTCTGCACTAGATTTTTCAAGTTGAAAACTGACCAAGTGCTTAGGGCTAGTTTTAATTTCAGTGACATGAGCTCTTGCTAGTGGGAAAGAGACTGTGATGTATGTTTCATTCTCCATTTTTTGTGGTAGAGATTGCCCATCACTGTACCTGAACATTTCCATGTGTTAGGTAATTACAACAGAACACATAGAGAGTGAAGTTGGACTTAGGAATGGCCAATAGAGCAACTTTGTCCCTTTTGTTTAGCAATCCCCTTTTAAACTCCCACAACCCCTCAGTAAAACCTCACAAATTCACTTCCCCAGTGATTGCGTTCATTTGGAAGTTCTCTGTAAAAATGGGTGAGATGTGGTAGCTCTGCTACTCCTTGAAGTAACCTGTCCACTGGAGTGACAGACAGAAGAAGTTCTCCAGTGCTGCAGTGAGAGTAATGTTAAATGAGCAGTAGTAATGGGTGCAACTCATGGCATTTGATGGCACTGGATCTGAAGATGTGCTGAATGGTTGCAAGTATTACTGTGGCGTATTCAGTGCATATGTGATATCAGAACTTTATACTTGCCTTCCATGCTGCTAGCGAGAAATTCATTTTTTACTCCAGCAGTGCAATTTCAGATTCACTGCTATTAAGCCAGTTTAGCCAGTGTCATTCCTAGAGTTACTCACATACTTACTGCTACAGTAATGAGTGATGGATGCAAAGACAACCTTTATCTTGCTTGCTGGAGAAAGACATCAGGAGAACAGGCCAAGCTGGTGTCAACCAGTCTGCAAAAACTGCTGTAAGACATGTACTCTAATGCTCACATTGCAAGCAGAGCCTGACAGGTATGGTTAATGTTGTATTGGCTTCTAAACCAGTCACACATCTGCTGAAGGTAAGGCTGAAGAGATCCCTCCTCTGAGACAACAGGTATTTAAGAGGGGAGACCACAGGGGAAGTGTCTAACTGAGAAGAAAAAGGCCAGCAAACTTGCTGTGGTTGTTCAGAAAGATTTAAGATAATAATACAAGAAGAGGCCACAGCATCTGTCCAGAAACTAACTCTTTTCTTTGTTATTATTATTTTAATTTTCTGCTTTTACTAAATGTGGAATCATAGCTATTAACTTAGTGTGATTTTAATCACCAAGCAAGTTAATGTGGATCATGGGGTTTATCTTCATTTGCAGATAAAACGCGTCCTGGAGCAGAAGGAGAAAACAGAAATGGAAGGATGCATTGTAGAGATCATAACCACTTGAATTAATTTGGCTTATCAGTATGCTTTGGTGGACCATTTGGTGATGCTCCATCTTTCACGGAGCTCGTTCTGCAGATGCCTTTGTCACAGTAAACCACATGCAGAACTCACAGTGAGATGCAGCATTCTGGTCCCCAGCACAGAACTGGGCACTTGCTCCTGTGCTATGCAACACATAGGGGAAAGGAGGAGGAACATCCTTGGTGACAGGGAGGAAGATGGCACATGGCTTTTTCTCTGGTTTTAGGTGGTAGAACTGGTGAGTGTGGCTAAAAATGCAGTTTACCAAGGTATGCTGTTTTCACTGAAATCACTGCTGAGAGTGGAGTTTGGAGCTTGCTACAAGAATTTCAGGATGACCAAGAACTTCTTGTCTACGTTTCTGTGTTATGAATAGTTCTGTGCTGGTCTGCTGGGGTAACTGTTTCACTGTTGCTGATACTTCTGCTTGCTTATGAAGTCATGTTAGTATATCCTGGAGGTTTTCTGCTTTTTTCTTTTTTGCTTTAAAGTATATGAAGAGAAGTGTGAAGAGAAGTTTGAAGAAGCTGGCTTGTTCAGATCGTTTAGCTTGGGGAAGAGAAGGCTCTGGGGAGACTTCATTGTGACCTTCCAGTGCCTGAAAGGAGCACAAACAGGCAGGAGGGAGCTGACTTTCTACACATTCTGGTAATGACAGGACAAGAGGGGGTGGCTTTAAACTAAAAGAAGGAAGTTCTAGGTGAGATGTTAGGATAAAATTCTTCACTCAGAGGGTGGTGAGGCCCTGGCACAGCTGCCCAGAGAAGCTGTGGGTGCTCCATCCGTGGAGATGCTCCAGGCCAGGTTGAATGGGCCCTGTTCTAACCTGACCTGTTGGGTGGCAACCAGCACTGAAGCAGGCAGTTGGAACTGAATGATCTTTAAGATCACTTCCAGCCTAAGCCATTGTGTGGTTCTGTAATAAGTTTAAAAAGTTACTGTGAATTTCTGAACAATTTTAAGGAAGAGAATTACGTTGATGTAGATGAATCTGCACATCTGCTATTCGAAGTGCCAATGTCAGAGGTGGTAAAGGCATAAAATAACAAGGACTTAAAAGAGGTAACTACTGTATTTTAGGCAGGGATTCTGATACCTTACAACGTGCAAAAGAAGGCCCGAATTTTTGCAATAGTTCCTAGCAGTAACTATAGTAAAAGAAAGAATAGCAGTACAGTGTCTTCTCTTTTCTTAGAAGCATGAAATTGAAATGAAATTTTTGCCTTTCATTTTTATTTAATGTACCAGAGAGCATATCTATTGTTCTTTTGTTAGCTGAGTGAAACTACTGTAGAGGGAAGCAACAACTCCGTGAATCCATAGTAGATAACAAAAAATTCATGTTTGCATTGTAAAATCATTCTCCCTTTTCTTCTTTATTTTATTTCATTTTATTTTATTTTATTTTATTTTATTTATTTATTTTTTTTTTTAGGAGGAAAACACGATTTTTTTAAACTAAAAGACAAAAGGCTGGAAGGGTTGTGTTACTACCAGCTGTTCCATCCGTATGAGGTGGAGAAATCACAAGCCTTCCATAGACTAAAGCAGGCAGTGAAGTATTAAGCGTGGTAGCATCAAACCAACCCTGTTGGTGCAAATGCACTGTGCAAAGATGTGGCTCAATCTGTTGGATATGAAGACCTTGCAAAGCACAGGGAGAAGCATGACCTGTCTGTTCCATAAATGCTTTCCCTGAAAGTGCTTGAGTGGCGATGCTTCCTCACGAGGTGGGTCATGCTGTTGCCATCACTTAAACAAGTGGTGCGGTGAAGCAGTAGATAGGTAGGTGATCATTACAGCCATTCCCTGGACCAGGTTTCTGTGTTTTCTTGTCTCTTATTCGTGTGTTGAACGTGCTCAAGCTTATAGGCAAGATTTGCGTAGCAAAGGAGGCTGCTGGAGGTGAGCGGTGGCAGATGATGGCTCTTTGGATGGCAAGTCAGAGGATGCCATGTGAAACGTGGAATGTCTCTGGAGCGACATCTGGAAGCGAAACCCCATGTATCAGATCGTTTTCTAATCTTGCCTTTCTAAAAGTTGCTTCAATTTTTTGTTTTATTTTCCTTGACTTTCCTAGCCATCTGGGGTCAATTAGTACTTAAATCTGTCTTCTTTACAACCGCAAGTTGGGCTTTTATTCACTAGAGATGGACAGGGAGAGGAGCCTTGTTTAGCTGCGCCAAATACAGTAGCTTCAAGATCATGCTGAATCAGTATCTCTTGAGTCACCTAATCCAGAAACTTGAAGTCTGTGGAGAGAGGCAGTGGTAGGAAAGGATACTGTGATAAGTATCAAGGCTGAACAACTGTAACAGTGCCAAAAATCTGATATGAACCAACACAGGAGGCAGACCCAAATTCTGAAAACACAGCTGGCTTTTTTGAAGGTCTTTGCAAAAACAGGATAGTTATTTTTGTTACTGCAACGGATATTTCAGAAGTAGTTCCATCAGTGCTTCTCTGGCATGTAACTGCATTTCTCCTAACTTCTTAAAGTAATGACAGAACTACATTGCTCGTCTTTTCTGCGTTCTCAGATGGGTGATCCAGAAATTGTAGTGTTTAATCATAATGTGTTTAAGAGCCACATTTTCATTTGGTAAGATCATTAGTCCATGCATTAGATAGGTGCTACTCTTTCGGGCGTCAGCAGTTTTTAAAACAGTGTGTTACCATAAATGACTTCCTAAATGTTGTATTTATGGTGAAATTCTATTTGCTGGAGTTGAGTACCTTTCATTTTACTAATTTTAAGTAAGTGTTGAATGTCTTTCCCCACTTGGTAGTTCTCTCTGTGGTATCAGCAAAGACAGCAGCATTATCAAGAGAGGACAGCGTAGACTGTTGCATGCAGTGCTTCCAGTTATAGTGTTTGGGAGTGGCATGTGGGAAGCTGTGTCCAGATTTGGGGATTTTTTTTCAGCATTGTAGGCAGTAAGCCATCAAAACCTCATTAGTAAGAAGCCACTCCTGTGCTTTTGTGTTTCGGACTTCCTTTTTAGTGGAGATTACATTTTTGCCACAGTGCTCCTGAGAGGAGTTCATTGGAAGATCCTGTTGCCTTTATTTGCAGTTCTTGAAAAACACGAGACTGCACCCAGAGCTCACACGGGTATTAAGTTAGGAGCCACCTTTGTTTGCTGTGGAAGCAGAGTGCCCTTCACATTTTGTTTCTGCTGAAGGAGCTGGGGTGGGTTGGGGGCAGGGGGAGAGTCCCTTTGTACAGTCTGATCCACTTTCAGTAGGAATGCTTTTCGGAGTGTAACTGTTTGGCATAAAGTCCTCATTGCCACATACCTTATGCTCAGGAGGTTGAATAGCTCCAGTATGGTGCAGAAGCAGTGGTGACCCCATCCTTCATGTCCCCTGTCTCCTTTTGTCTACCCACTCCTACCCATTTACAGGCTTTGTTGGCTGGGCAGAAACAAGGAAGTAACCAATTTAATGGTATGAGCAGCATTCAAGATATGGTGGGCAAACCCTGCTTTGCTTCAATCTTTTGCATCCTGCGTTTTTTTTAATTTTACCAGTTGGAGGCACCTTTTGCCACGCAAGATATGAGCAGAAGAGTCTTCCTTTTCCTGCCTAAAGGAGGGATCAGTGCAGTGCATGTAGTGAAAATGCAACTAGGTGGGTACGCAAAATAGTCACTCCAAAGTGTTTTTCACTGGTCCTGTGTTTTTGCTTTCCTGGAGAGATTATAAAAAGTGACTGCAGACAGCAGATTTTCTTTTTCTCTGTGTTAAAGTACTTGGGGTCTAGTACAAGATTAGGCTTTCTCTGTTCTTGATGTACTACCTGGAGCTAGTTAAAGGCCAGACAGGTTTAAGATTTTATTTTTTTTTCACTTTTTCTCTTCTGTCCTGTGGTAATCCCTGATAAAAACAATTTTATCAGTCCTGCTGGGCAAGCTGGATTCTGAGCATACGCTTGATTTTATTCAAGATAGTCCTCTCTGAAATCTGCGTCATGTATAGTGTATTTTGTTCTCCAACATTTCAGGAACAAGAAAGAAGAATAGAGGAAAAAACGATGAGCTGCTCTAAGGCATATGCAGGGTCGTTGCTACTCATTAGCATGTTTTAAGAAGGATAGAAACAGAGGTCTAATGAGGTGTTATTTGAGTTAGATTTGTGACAGTCTTCCACAGCTGATGACATTGAGGCTATTGATGGAGTTTTACTGGAAGTCACTCTCTTCTTGTTCAAATAGCAAAACTTCCCTGATGGCAGCATTTTCAAGTTGAAGGCTCACATCACTCCCATTTACAAGAAAGGGAGCAGGGAGGAGCTGGGGAACTACAGGCTGCTGGGTCTCACTTCTGTGCCTGGAAGATCATGGAACAGATCCTCCCAGACGACATGCTTGATCCTATGAGGGATGAGCGTGTGATCTGAGACAGCCAGCACGGCTTCACCAGGGGAAGGTCATGCTTTACCACTCTAGTGGACTTCTGTGATGGAATGATGGCATCAGTGGACAAAGGAAAGGCGACTGATGTCCTTTACCTGGACTTGAGCAAGGCCTTTGACATGGTCCCCCACCACATCCTTATCTCCAAATTGGAGGGATGTGGATTTGATGGCTGGACCACTCAGTGGATAAGGATTTGCTTGAAAGGCCGCAGACACAGGGTGGTCATTAATGGCTCTAATGACTCTAATGGAGTCCAGGTGGAGGCTAGTAATGAGTGGTGTCCCCCAGGGGTCTGTCTTGGGACCAGTGCTCTTTAACATCTTTATCACTGACATCGATGACGGAATCCAGTGCACCCTCAGCAAGCTTGCTGATGACACCAAGCTGAGTGGTGCAGTTGACATGGTGGAAGGAAGGGATGCCATTCAGAGGGACCTCGAGAGGCTGGAAAGATGGGCCAAGGTGAACCTGATGAGGTTCAACACAGCAAAGTGCAAGGTTTTGCATTCGGGTCATAGGAATCCCAGGCATCCATAGAGACTGGAAGGAGAAATCCTTGAGAGCAGCCCTGCAGGGAAGGACCAGGGGGTCTTGATAGATGAAAAGCTTAACATGAGCCAGCAGTGTGCTCTTGCAGCTCAAAAAGCAAATGGTATCCTGGGCTCCAGAAGAGTGGTGGCCAGCAGGGACAGGGAGGTGATTGTCCCCCTCTACTCTGCTCTTGGGAGGCCCCATCTGCAGTACAGTGTCCAGGTCTGGAGCCCCCAGTACAAGAAAGCTGTTGGACAGGGTCCAGAGCCACAGAGATTATCAGAGGACTGGAGCACTTCCCCTACAAAGACAGGCTGAGGGAGCTGGGCTTGTTCAGCCTGTACAAAAGAAGGCTGTGGGGTGACCTCATTGCGGCCTTTCAGTACCTAAAGGGAGCCTACAAACAGGAGGGGAATCAACTCTTGGAAAGGGTCGATAACTGCAGGACAAGGGGAAATGGCTTTAACTTGAGTGAGGGAAGATTTAGGTTGAATGTCAGGAAGAAGCTCTTTACTCTGAGAGTGGTGAGGTGCTGGCACAGGCTGCCCAGAGAGGCTGTGGATGCCCCGTCCCTGGAGGTGTTCAAGGCCAGGTTGGTTGGGACCCTGGGCAGCATGGTCTAGCATTAAATGGGGAGGTTGGCGGCCCTGCATGTGGCAGGGGGGTTGGAGATTCATGAGGGTCCCTTCCAACCCTGGCCATTTTGTGATTCTGTGATATTACAGTGGTGTTTCCTTCATCTGTCAGGCACAGAGCTAAAAATCAGTGAATTTCAGAAAATAGGCCAAAAGTCTGTTTTGAAATGGAAATGGGAAGCCTGAAAGATCTGCCGTGTGGTTCTTTGATTTCCAGTGAAGGTTTTCTTGGAGGAATGATAAATCTCCATTTTCTGTCCTCTGCATGAGCATAGTGGTAAAAATTTGGAGCAAGGAGTGGAAAGAATGAAAGGCTGCTAGCAAGAGATGAGTAAGAAGGAATAGGGGTCACTGGAAAGCTATATAAAGATGGGAAAAATGATCCTAGAGCTTGGAAGACGAGCCAGGCAGCTACAAGTGATGTCAGGCATGCTGGGTTGTGTTGAAATGTGAAGCAGGCATTTGAAGATAATGCTTTTGGAGAAGGAGGAGTAATTTCCAGGGTGGTGTGTGAAGGCTGAGTTTGGACACATGGGCACACAAAAAGACAAAATCAACTCACAAGAGCATGTGGAGTGCAGCTTATCTGCTCTGTCTTGGCTGTGTAAGTATGGGCTGGCTTTGAGAAAAGGGACCAAAGGCCGGGAAAGCTGCTAGCTTTGGCTGTGTGCTTGCACCATGGTCTGAGTTTGAAAAATACCGGTTAGATCAGGGTTCATTTTAGGTGTATTTGATGAGGACTGACTACGCTTTGCGGGGGTGGTTTTCCACCGTGACTTACAGAGTAGGAAGTGGTAGATGCTATGAGCAATAGATCTTTCTCCCAAGTCCTTTCTGGTGGCTCGTCTGTGGGCTGCATTGTGTACGTCTTGCATAACTGTGGAAAAAAATTAATAGCTGCAGTAGCAAAAGTCTGGAGTTTTTAAGTGGGCTTTATTTCGTGGCCATTTGCAGTTTTCTACCTTTTTGTTTGGTTTCCTTTGCATATAGGAATAGATACATAGAGTGAAACTGATCTAAGCCTTGATAAACATGATAGCTAAGAAAATAACTTGTTTTGTTGTATCATCTCATCAGCCTTTACATACCAGTTCAGTATATTCACCCACAGTACGTATCTGTCAGAAAGAATAAGTACGATTGAAACTCACCTACAATAAGTTTGTCATAATCCTTAAGCTGAAGAATGTTTGTGATCACTGAAAGGTAAGACATAGCAGTTGAGAACCTGAGGGTAATCTTCTGTGAGGTTCTCCTTTTGTTCCTCTAAGTGGAGAAAAAATATTACTGTTAATGTAGCGCTCTCAAGTGACCATCTTTGCTTAGAAATGTGTGCGGGGTCTGCACATTAGTCTTCTTGCTGTGTGCAGTTTCTGTGAGTTCTAGTTTGTGTGGTCAAGTGGATTGTTTTGCTGTTCTGGACTAAATGACATGGTGCCCTTTGAAACTCCTCCTGTGAGTCTACTGTAAATGGCCATGTGAGCCAGTTGGCTGTACAAACTCCCAGGCTAGTTTTGTAGCAGCTCAGGGGCTTGGGTGTTGACTGCATACCCAGCTCTCATGTTATTCTCAACCATATTTTTTCTTCTTGCCAGGAGCAAATGCCAGCATGACTGGGATCTGAGGAGGCATCTCCGTGTTCTTACCAGAAGTTTGTGGCTCCAGAGGAGGGGTGCAAGGACAGCAGGAACATTTTGAGCTAAAATGGATATCCCCACCGATTTGGTGCCATCCTCCATGATGTCACAGCCTGAGGTGATCGAGGTGAGGAGATCACAATGAAACTCAGGCAGCCAAGCTGTCTGAACCTCTTTTTTATTTCCCCAATGAATCTCTGCTTCTTTTTTTTTTCTCTCTCAGTTTTGAGTCATCGAGGGAATTTTCCCTGAAACATTGTATTAAAGACATTCATCATTTCCTAAGAATGTTGTTATACTTTGAGGCATGACACTGTATTATACTGCTATTTGTAGAAGAAAAGATACAGCGTATTATGATCCTTATTGTTTCCACGTAGGTGTTGCCTGCCATGTGGTTTGATTTTACTGTGCATAATGCATACAGGGTAGAAGAAGGTCACGATGGGGTTCATTTGGAATAAAACCACGAGAAATTTCAGGTTCAGTGCTCTTATGAGGAGTGCTAAGCTTTTAAGCCAAAACTGGCAATAAAATAGTAATATACTTACAATTACTAACAATTACTAATCTTACTTTCATGAGTCAAAGTGCGTGCTTAAGACTTGATATTTATAAATACCTAAGTGATTTCTTCAGCTGCATGCACTGAACACCACATATTTTTTCCTGTTAGTGAAGTAAATATTACAAACAGAAAAGGAGATGTTAGTACTGCTGAAGGTTTCATCTTGAAAAGTTCCTCTGACTTGAAACCCAGGTGTCTGTTGGAATTTAAAACTTTTAAGGGTATATGCTTTATATATACATCACTCCACAACTGGTTAAGTTTAGGTGATACTGTCAGAAAATTGGCAACATAACTTTTTTTTTTTTTTCTTTTTTTCCTTTTGCTAAAGATCTTTTGACTCGGGAGAACTGAATCTCTTAGCAGAGACCTCTGAGAAGCTGCAAAAAACTTATTAGTGGGTGGTGGAGCTAAATCTAAAATCTCTTTTAGGGGGAATTATTTGTGCTCCTTTTCTTCCTGGACTTCAGATTAAGAAGTAGTACATTTTAAAACTATTTCTGTTGCTTTTCAAGTCTATATTAGGGTCAGAGAAGGATTTTATCTCTTTGCAGTAGGTTTCAGGACACCTGACAGGAAGGAGATCCTGTATGGCTGTATTGCAGGGTGCTTGGCCACTGATGCACTCTTCTGCCTTCCTGGACTAAGGCTCCCCCAGACCATTCCCTGCATGCTCTGAAAGTCATCTGCACCACTGTCTCCCTGCATTCTCTTTTCAGAAGCTTCTTTGCGTGTAAGAAGCGTGTGCTACTGTTCAGGGGTTGCTGTTCAGGATAAATGCCTTTTTGAAGAGAGCATAAGGTCAGTTGTGGTGTAAGAACAAGTGGGAGAAAAGCTATTACTTCTAAAGGGTTTGATTGAAAATGGCCTTCTAAACTGTATGGTCACGGTTCTGTTGCATTTACAAATGCATGCTTTGTGCAGGGACTTTCTGCTGACTACATCTTGCACAGGATTTGGATCTCTAGACCAAAGACAAGAGGCAAAAAGTATAATCTAAGTATAGATTATACTAGATATTGAATGTTAACATAGATGGGTTTAGTTGGAAATACTAGTGATAGGTGGGCAGTTGGACTGGCTGATCTTAGAGGTCTTTTCCGACCTTGATGATTCTATGATTCTGTGGCTCTCCCTTCCATGTCCGGGTTTCAGAGTCCATACTTCCATAGGATTTGACTTGAGAGCAAAAACAAAATGGCAACAGGAGGCAAAGGAAAGACTGATATCTCAGTGTGGGTTGTAAAATACAATTCTCTGAACCTCTTACTGTAAAAGCAGATTCCAATTTCACAGATTATATCCACATGGGAGGTTTTAAGTGCATGTGTGAATTCCCCACAGATTTCAGTAAGCCATGCTGGATATGATGGTTACAGGGCTTTAACCTATGTAAAGGAGAAATGGCTCCAAAAAAATAGCCTGGGGAGTTCTGTTGCTGAGGGTGAGGAACAATTTTTTTAACAGAAAAGGGCATTGTAACATATCTTAAGGGCAGAATAATTAGACAGAAATGAAGCTGTTTCCTATTGAATGGGCTTGACTTTAGCATTTGTGCTAAATGAGCATTAAAATGAGCTTTGGTTATTGTTTAAGAAAAGGTACATTTGTTAGAATACCTTTTTTTTTCTGCAGCACATTATTTTTCCTTTTAAAACCGAGTAGAAACCACAGTCAGCTGCAGAAGATATTTAGGGGCTAATGTCTTAAAGATAAAAAAATAAGACAACTTGGAAGTAGCCTTGCATGCTTTCTGCATGAGCTAGATGGCATCTCATTTATTATTTAAAAAAAAAAAAAAAAAGTGCTTTGCTACTTTACTTGAAAGTTTCTTTCTTTCTTTCCTTTCTTTCCTTCCTTTCTTCCTTTCTTCCTTTCTTCCTTTCTTTCCTTTCTTTCTTCCTTTCTTCCTTTCTTCCTTTCTTTCCTTTCTTTCTTCCTTTCTTTCCTTTCTTCCTTCCTTCCTTCCTTTCTTTCTTCCTTTCTTCCTTTCTTCCTTTCTTCCTTCCTTTCCTTCCTTTCCTTCCTTTCCTTCCTTCCTTCCTTCCTTCCTT